CGACAAAGACTCCGATGATAAGGATTCCGAGGAAACGGAAGACTCGAAACGTTGAACGAGATAGTTCTGAGAGTGGGATTAGGAACTCCACTCAAGGACCTTTCCATATCATTTATTATATGACTAGATGGGCCTCACGGGCGCATCACCACCCAACCATATCCCGCGCGGAAAGGCAAACACATATGATTGCTGGGGACACACGCTCCCGTCGGACCCATGGGCCTTGGTGGTTAATTTTTTTCCGGAACGGCAGGACTGCTCTCTAGAGGAGAGGAAAGTCCCTGTACACTATCTACCGGTTTTTGTGTATAGACTACGATATTCTTTGTCGATAATAATCAATTGATACGCATGATGATGGCTCCCATATGATGTATAGGTATTTATAAATTGGGCTGTGGCACGAGCCCCGTAGGTTTCGTGAGATCTTCCAAGACTAGGTCGGCATTTCTTTTCTTCAACAACCGTCTTGATGATGAATTCTGCAAGCCAAGATTTTCCGGCAATTTATCTGGCACAGCTCCCAGGACTGCCGCTGCTTATCTATGGCTGATATAGGCGCCGATCACTCTGAAACTATACCCTTTCATTAATAATGTCTGCAGTTTAATTGCTCCAGCAGCACATCCAATGTGGTGTCTCATCCTTTGCGTTTCATGCCAAGTCTCCGTGTCTGTCGCGAAACGGCGTCTGGCCGCCGTGTCGTGGTGTCAACTATGATAACATTATTTATCCGCAACACCAGTGCCGTGCTTCTCATGTGATGGCAAGAGGCAATTAATATCGGATCCCGGCTGAATGTTCTCTATTCTGCCATTTTAACAGTAATCCCTGCGGTCTGCACGCTTTGGTGGAGAGCATTCCACAACCCCGATTGGTACATCCCTTGCGTTATCCAGTCAAGATGGAAAAACGCCATCAAGCCAAGAAACGCTACAGTATCAGTTACGATACTACTGAGCCCGGCAATGTCCCTGCAATATGGATCCGCGGGCCGGGTGTCGAACCATCTCTATCGGGGCATTCTTCCTGGTGTCGTCCGTGGGTGCCATCGTATATCTAGGGCTCGACCCCGCCAATGTAAAATGCTGCCATTCGTCTTCAGAGCCTAAGCCTTGGGCACTTCTCATCATGAAGCTCGTTAACCGTTTGCTCGCTTCATTCCTTTCAGTGAGCACCGGTGAGTGGTAGACTATTGAGCTAACGTGGTTTGTCTTCGTCTGACCCTTTGGTAGTGTTGCAGTCATGTTGGGCCCAGTCCGGCACACCGGTTGCCTACACGGATTCTGAGACGGGCATCACGTTTGACACGTGGTCGGTACCTGCTGGTACGGGTACGGGTGGTCTCGTCTTCGGTGTAGCCCTGCCGGGTTCGGCGTTGACTACTGATGCGACGGAGTTCATCGGTTACCTGGTGAGGATATCTAGTATCCGCTCTGAAGTGGCGCTAAACATTCTGATGTTCTAAGCAATGTGCATCCCAAAATGCCTCATCCGCTGGCTGGTGTGGCATCTCCTTGGGTGGTGGCATGAACAACAATCTCCTGTTCCTGGCGTATCCGTACGAGGACACCGTTTTGACTTCTCTGCGATTCGGCTCGGGGTATAGCATGCCCGGAGTCTATACCGGCGACGCCAATGTCACCCAGATCTCCTCGAGTATCAATGCTACTCATTTCACTTTGCTCTTCCGTTGCGAGAATTGTCTGACCTGGGACCAAGATGGTCAAACCGGAAACGCGACCACAAGCAAGGGTAGGTTAGTCCTGGGATGGGCGCAGTCTACGGAGAGCCCGTCGAACCCGTCCTGTCCGGACAATATCAGCTTGGTACAGCACGACAACCAGGGTATTATCTCGGCCACTTTGGATGAGAATGCAGCCAGTGAGTCATACGAGGACTGGGTCAAGCTGGCTAACAAGACTGTTCCCGGGGATTGTTCTGGTGACGGTGGCGGCGGAAACGAGCCCACTCCCGTTCCTGTACCTGACGGGGCTACATACGACTATATCGTCGTTGGTGGAGGTGCGGGAGGTATCCCTGTCGCCGATCGGCTCAGTGAGGCTGGACACAGTGTGCTCCTGATCGAGAAAGGCCCTCCATCATCGGGACGCTGGGGTGGCACCATGAAGCCCAGCTGGTTGGACGATACTAACCTGACGCGATTTGATGTCCCTGGACTGTGCAACCAGATATGGGTCGACTCCAACGGTATCGCCTGCAGTGATACCGACCAGATGGCAGGTTGTGTGCTGGGTGGAGGCACCGCTGTTAACGCGGGATTGTGGTGGAGGGTAAGCCGTGCGCAGATACGATGTTTGGGCCCATTACTGACAATCTCCAGCCAAACCCTGTGGACTGGGACTACAACTTCCCCGAGGGATGGCAGTCATCCGATATGCAGTCTGCTGCTGACCGCGTCTTCTCGCGGATCCCGGGCACCACAACCCCCTCCACCGACGGAAAGCTTTATTACCAGCAAGGAGCCAATATACTGGAATCAGGCTTGCAGTCCGCAGGATGGTCATCTGTGACGCTCAACGACGTCCCGGCCCAGAAGACCAAGACCTTTGGTCACGCACCATTCATGTTCTCTGGAGGTGAGCGCGGAGGGCCCATGGGGACGTATCTGGTATCGGCTAGTGAGAGGGATAATTTTGCCCGCTGGTCGAACACGACTGTCAAGAGGGTTGTTCGTGAGGGCGGACGTATCACCGGGGTTGAGGTCGAGGCAACCCTCGATGGTGGCTATGCGGGTACCGTCAACGTAACTGCTAACACGGGCCGTGTCATTCTTTCTGCGGGAACCTTTGGAACGCCCAAGGTCCTTATGAGAAGTACGCTTAGTCTGACGATATTGTTAAGGAGTTATAGCTAATAGTGTATAGGTGGTATCGGTCCGAAGGACCAGCTGTCCGTGGTCAAGAGCTCTACTGACGGGGAGACGATGATTGCCGAATCGGAGTGGATCGAACTTCCGGTTGGCGAGAACCTCGTCGATCATGTCAATGTGAGTGCTTAGTGTATCGGGAGAGACCGATATAATGCTAATACGATGCTTACAGACTGATGTTGTGGTGACTCACCCTGATGTTGTCTTCTATGATTTCAAAGCGGCATATAAGACCCCCATCGAGAGCGACGCGACGAGCTATCTGAGTATGTAGTCATGACCGGAAGAATTGTCCGATACTAACGTTGGTAGACGATCGAACCGGGATCTTCGCCCAGGCTGCGCCTAATATTGGTCCTATGTAAGTTGTCCGTCAACCAAACCCGTTATGACACTAACGTGTGTAGAATCTTCGACGAAGTCACCGGTTCTGATGGCATCAAACGTCAGATACAGTGGACTGCTCGGGTGGAAGGCGGTCACGATACACCTGACGGACGTACGTTTTGACTATTATGTGAAATATTAGTGCAAGATATTAACCGCCTTGTAGACGCCATGACCATCAGCCAATACCTCGGTCGCGGCTCAACCTCGCGTGGCCGCATGACCATCACCGCAGGACTGGACACGGTGGTCTCGACACTGCCATTCCTGCGGGACGAGAGTGATGTCAGCGCTGTGATCCAGGGAATCCAGAACCTGAAGAGGGCCCTGAACGGAACGGGACTTACCTGGACCTACCCTGCTCGGAACACTTCTATCGCTGAGTTTGTCAAGACTGTGAGTAGTGAATTCTGGAAGGTAGTTCGACGTAACTGACACCGATAGATGCCAATAACCGCCGGAACCCGCCGGGCTAACCACTGGATGGGTGAGCTGCGATTATACCTTGTTGAATGACGTCGCTAACTATGATAGGAACCTGCAAAATAGGTACAGACGATGGCCGCACCGGAGGCAGCGCCGTTGTTGATCTGAATACCAAGGTCTACGGAACGGACAACCTGTTCGTCGTGGATGCTAGTATTTTCCCGGGGATGATCACTACTAATCCCTCGGCTTACATTGTCACGGTCGCGGAGCACGCAGCTGAAAAGATTCTAGCGCTGTGATGGGTGCATGTTCTCGTTGCGCTGAGTTCTATAAATTGCTATTCTGGTTAGTATAGTTGTTTTCTATATCAATAGAAAAAAAAGACTGTCTATGCAGTTCATTCCACCTTCTGTACCTTTTGAAAACACTTGCATTATGCTCCTCAATTTGGACAACGTCATCTAGTCTTGCCGGTGTATCTACGCATTCATCTGACTTGATCATAGCGAGCATACTCTTTTCTGGTGGTATACTATACACGTCCTGCGTAGTGACACGTTCTATATGTTGAGCCGCGCAGACGAAGTATCGGATCACCTCAGAGAATACCGAAACCCTGAATCCTGTAAAAGAATAAACTGAATGATTGTTAGTGGCATGTCGCCAGGTAGCTGCAGAGTAAGAGTCAATTCAGTCCTTGTCGAATCAGGTCATGCAATGACTCTCTGTCTACCTCGAAAGAGACAGCGGACGGCGATAATTACAAGGCACAAGATTAAGAGGATGGGGACCGATTGCTGTGCACAAGTCTTCCTTTTCTTTATTCAAATAGGCCGCCTTCTAGGCGACGTGAAACCAGTGTAACGGTGTTGGAACCTGGTGTGGCACATTCGCCCATTGTATGCCACAATTCAAAGAAACAAGACTCCCTGCCTGTACAACTGTACTAGAATAGAAATTTTTAGGTCCAATCCTACTGTTAATTCCAAATCTATCCCGTGCCCTGAGGGACGTGGACCAATCTCACCCAGCCATCCTCTGTTGTGGTCTCTTGGCGAGTGAAGTTAGATTCTAGTCCAGACCCAGTAAATGGAACAAGAGCTTCTTAGACTCGTTTGGCTGAGCTACCGATACTTAATAAGCTAGAGAGGTAGCACAGCACACAGTCGGCAATTGGAATTTTATAAGTTCGACGTATTGGCGGGCCCCTGTCAGCGCTAGACATGGAGCTCCCTGCTGCACGGCATCAGTCTCTATTGCAATACCAAATATCTTGTCTTAGACTACGATGGGCAATACAACACCACCAAGCAATAGTGAGAGCCGGCAATGGGTGATCAAGGTCGCTGCGTGGCCACTGTTCAGTGTGTGCACAATCCTAGTCGCACTGCGGATCTGGACTCGTGCTCGCATTGTTCGGCCTCTAGGGTGGGATGATGCCTTTATTGTATTGGCCATGGTAGGGTTGCCAATAACTATGAATGGATGTCTTCTGACAGTGGCAGGTCTGCGCGACGGCGGAAAGCATTTTCACGACCATCAGCGTGCATCATGGTACCGGACGACATACTGTCGAACTCACTGAGACACAGCGCATCCTGAGCGCCAAGTTCAACTGGATGTCGCAGGGGTTCCATGTAATGGCGACGAACTGGGGTAAAACATCTGTTGCGTTGTTTCTGCTACGGATTATGGGGAAGGCCAAGCATCACCAAGTAGCCATCTATGGAGGGATCACTCTCCTGACCGTTATCAATACGGTGTCTTTATACACTATGTATGGCCAGTGTACCCCCACCAATAAACTTTGGGATGAGAGTATCGAAGGGTCGTGCTGGCCGCCGACAGTGCAGAAGAATTATGCCTTTTTCCAAGGGTGTATGTATTGGTTTATCCTATTTTAACCGTGTTACTGATCATACAGCGGCCTCCGCGTTCTCGGACTTCGCGCTCGCTATTTATCCATTAAGAACCATTGCCGGACTGCAGATGGCCCGTAAGGCGAAGATTGGGCTGAGTTGCGTGCTCTCGCTGGGAATCGTGTAAGTATTTTTTGCTATGGTGGACGTACCATAATCTGATCAAACAGCGCCATGGCTGCTGCCATTGTCAAGACCATCAACATTTGTTCACTGACCGAACGAGCCGATTTCCCATGGGACACGGTTGACCTTTCAATATGGACCTCCATCGAGCAGTATCTCATTATTCTCGCCGCATGCATCCCCGCCATGACACCCTTGGTCAACATTCTGCTCCACAAACGCCCTTCTAAAAGGAACACTGCCCGCGCCCGAACTTCCTCCGGTAACCAATATGGGCGCCGCCAAGGGCATGCAGAGTTTGGTGGTCGCAGTCTGGATTATGCCCTAGGTACTTATGGAGATGCTTGGGCTACTGCACGGAGAGACAAGGGTGATGGTGATAGTGAGGACCCGATCATGGATGAGGAGGCGAGCCAGGGGATAATGAAGACGACGGAGATCCATATCCAATCTGACGTGGATGTCAATCAGCGGGGGCTCTAGAGACGAGTCTCTGTGCGTCGCAGAACGTTCTAGGAACTAATATCGTAATCTTTCCATTGGCTCATGTATTTGTCATGCTTGGAGGGCTGAGTTACTTGATGTTTGTGGGTTGCCATCCGGATGTTTTGTTCTGGCTATGATTCGTCTATTGATAATGAGACTATGCTTATGGCCCCTGGACTTACATGTTGTAGAACCATTTGATTGTCTTGGCTATGCTACGCTACTGCGTTCCAATACTACCTACCTGCGAACATGTAAGCTTTTTATAGTGGCAAGTGTTAGATGTTCTGGGAAGATCATCTGGTATTTGTCATTCGAGTAAACGTTAAGCCCGACTGCTGAACCGTGGAAACAATGATGAGGTCCCTATAGATAGTTTTCATCCTCCGGCCTTTCTTGGTTAACCGTCGGGATCCCCGTTTTACCACCGACGCTAGAGCGTGTTAATTTTCCGACTCAACTATAACCTCCGAATAGTATCTTGGTTCAGATCACCTCCGTGAGGTTTCAAGTCTTTCATCATCCTGTGTTCGTCTAACGTACACTTGTAATACCGCGCCTAGACCACAGACGAGATGCATTAGGAACTTGGCATTAGTAGTTACCCTCGGCCCACTGTCCAACCATGTTGACTTTCGTGTCACAAGGAGGAAATGCAACACAAGGAATAAATTTATAACTAAAGACTTATGATCTGCAAGATCGGCTTCCATCTTTTCCTTCCCATTTTCCTTCCCTCTTAGCTCATGGGCCATTGCCTTCATAGTTGCGAGAATTATACCTCGGAGACCGCGCAATGGATGCTAGACACTCTTCGCCAGAGACTCCAGACACCGAGAAGGACCGGCCGGTAGTCGATCTGGAGGAAATTGGGGAGCGCGAGGGCTACATGCTTTACACGTCGCGTACCCAGAATCAGAACCTAAAAACTACAGATGATGGCCAGACCGTGCTCATCCCGCAGCCCACAAACTTTCCTCATGATCCGCTCAACTGGTCGCCGTTCAGGAAGAATCTTATTCTTTTCGTTATTTCGGCGACTGCGTTTCTGCCGGACTATGGGAGTGCTACGGGTGCGGTTACGCTTATCCCACAGGCTAAGTAAGAGTCTGGTCATTGACATATGTACAAGAAATGCTGACTGAAATCAACGCTAGACAGTGGAATATGACAGAAGACCATGTCAACCATTCACAGGCTGGTAATATCTTTATGCTGGGTGTCGGCGGTCCCGTCGTTGTCGCTCTGTCTGCATACTTCGGTCGTCTTCCGGTGCTGTTCTATTTTGTGTTGTTGGCACTTGCTACCGCAATCTGGTGCACTGCAGCGCAATCGTTCGAGTCATTCATGGTATGTCCGCTTGGGAATTCACAGCGAGGAATCCTGACAAGTCCAGGCTGCCCGGATCCTCAATGGATTTTTCTCCACGGTTGCACAAGGAGTAAGTGGCCAAGATGCTCTTTGTCTGCGCACAAACCCTAACCCTAACAGGGTGGCCTCATGTTCATCAAAGACATGTTCTTCTTGCATGAACAGGCTCGCAAAATCAACATCTGGTCCGGATCCATCATCCTCTCGCCCTATCTGGGCCCGATGTTCGCAGCCTTCATAACAAACACCCAGATCTGGCAATGGGCTTTCGGTTTATACAGTATCGAAACCGGTCTCTGTCTAATCGCCATCATTCTCTTCGTCGAGGAAACATACTACGATCGCAAAACTCACCAGCCAGAACTAATCCCCGATGCTCCACGATGGAAACGCATGCTGGGCATCCAGCAGCGGCGCAGCGGATACATCATTAACACCCCGAAGGATGCAATCATGCGTCCAATCACCGTAATCATGAAGCCGGTAGTACTGCTATCCACGATTTACTACATGCTTACTTTCGCCTGGGTGGTAGGTGTCAACACGACACTCTCCATCTTCGTAGGCCCATTATATGGCTTCGGTCCCAAGCAAATCGGTAAGTACATACACCATCCCCTTCAAAACCACCAATCCTATACAAACTAACAGAAACAGGGTTCTTCTACTTCACCCCTGTCATAGCTGCCATCCTCGGCGAACTAACCGGCCACTGGCTCCACGACTACCTCGCCAAACAGTCCACAAAACGGAACAAAGGCCGTCTAGAGCCCGAAGCCCGTCTCCTCGCCATCTGGTTCGCAACACCCTTTATCCTAGCCGGTATAATTCTACTCGGCTTCGCCCTCGAAGGCGCATACCACTACATGCTCACCGCATTGGGATGGGGGTTGTACGTCTTCGGCATCATGATCGTCACTGTCGCCATTAATACCTACGTGCTTGATAGCTACCCAGAGGCGAGTGGGGAGGTTGCTGCGTGGGTTAACTTTGGACGCACGACTGGTGGGTTTATTGTTAGTTATTTTATGGTTGAGTGGGCGAATAAACAGGGTGCAAGGAGGCAGTTTGGGACTATGGCGGGGATTGTGGCGGGGGCCGTTTTGATTGTTTTGCTGTTGCAGGTTAAGGGGAAGGGCATGAGGGGGTGGGCTGGGCCGGTGAATTTTAAGACGGGTTGACCTTATCTTGCTATCTTACTGGGTGCTGTTGGGTTGGTGGTGGTGTTTAGATTGTATAATTGGATAGAGTGTGTTTTGAGAATGGTATTGAGTTTGGCATTCGTGTGCGAGGCCTTCTGTTAAGATCTAGTATACGTATGGGTTTCATGATCCGTGGTTCTTGGAAGTATAGTCATATAAAAATAGTTCAATTGAATTGATTCAAGTATGCAAACGCAACTCAGAAAGAATTCACTATGCAAGCCAACACTTCTCCACAACCAACGGCAAACGCAAGACCCGCAAACCTAAGAATAAGCCTGGATGGCAGTATCAAACCCGGCATTCAACTCTGTCGTCTTAGTAGCAAGTGTATCCTTATCCACAGCGGTCGCCTTATTCTGCAATGCCGTGGAAAGAGTACCAGTCTTGGCCCTGAGGTTAACCAGATTCATTCTCACAATGGCACCTATCCTCACTTCATCGACGAGCGGTTTCTAGAACCATATTAACATTGCCTCTCCACTACAAACAATATAGACACCAAGAAAAGAGGAAAGCAAATGCCTTCTAAACCAAGGTCACAAGTGCAGTCCGAATATCCGGCTCCAACCCTAACAAAGCTTTAGTCGTAGTAGCACTCTCATCTACTGTGAACGGCGTAGCGGCGGTAGTGTCCCTCGTCGCTTGCTCGAGGTCCCTTTCTACGGCCGTTTCTTTCACCTGGATATCTAGCGCTGCGGGGATTCCACCGTTGTAGGCTACTATGCTTTGTGTGAGGGTGGATAGGTCGGTGGTTATTTTGCTGAGGTCGTTTACTACGGCTGTTGCGTCGCGTGTGAGATGGGCTGGGATTGGGGTGGAGGTTGTTAGGGTTAGGAGGAGGAAGGTGAGGAGTGGTTGAATGATGTACATTTCTGTATCCTTTTTGTCTTATCAGATGAGGTAGATGAGGGTGTGTTTAGGGTGGGGGTTGGTTGTGTATATCTAAGTGGATGGTGTAGTTCTTTTATAGATATGATGGAAATGTGCCGGCTCGGTGTATTATGTGGTTGCTTGTTATATCTTGGTGTCAGATGGTGTGCTGTGTTACGTCGAAGGGTAAGCTTGGCATTTGAATATGATCTTGCGATTAGCAAGATTGTTGTTCTTATTTGGCTTGGGGTAGCAGCATGCAGTGGTTTGTGGGATGGAGGAGAGATTCCTCTCTGTGCTTAAGGTATAGAGGTATTGCATGTAGTATACGCGGGCTGGGAAGTAGTATATGAATCAAGGAGTACAAAGACAGGGCTTGAAACCGGTCAGACTACGGTTAAGGGCACAGTACTATGCTATCATTTGGACTCTATCTGGGATACATGGGGTGGACATGTGGAGAGAATTGAGCGTTCCATTCTGTAGGTAAATATTCCATTGACAGAGACGTAAGGTTGTTTGATACAAGCTCTACAGCATCTGGGAAACTGCATGCTAGTGTGTAAATGAATCAAGTAGTTGTAAAGATTGTGGGATATAGTGTTATGCTCTTTCAAAAGGCAATAGAAACTTATGCTTTCATCGCCAGTAACTCTCGGCACTGTCGAACTCAAAGTCCAGCCCCAGATGGTTTGCAAAGCCTCTGCAAGTTGCGATGTAGATACAGTGTGGTAGCCAAAAAGCAGGCCAAGGCTTCATCGTCAAGAAATAACGGGCAATTGATTCCATCCTACTACAAAATATGGGGAACTGATAACAACATCCAACTGCCATCATTGGGTAAGTAGGTATCTGCGCGGGCAATCCCGGCGCCTCGTGCGGAGAAGATATCGGAAGTCGCCGTATTGAATGATATAAGAATTATGAGTCGGCCAAGGTGTTTTCGAGATCCTTCAAAAGCCTATGCCTGACACCCACAATTTCCAACCAAGTACCAACGACTCCCCACCATAAAATGTCTCCCCTGACCGACGAGCAATTATCCGCAGCCGCCAACGCATGTCTGGAGCTGCAGAGAACCGGCCAAGACATCCACTCAAAACGGCCGTTCGCCGCGTTGCTTCTGGCACCGGATCATACCACCGTTCTGATGTCCTCCTTGTCGCTGTCGCATGTCAGACACGCTGAGGCCGAACTAGCCCGCAACGCGGCTGATAACTACGCGTGGGACTATCTAGCCAAAACGACTCTCATCTCCACTTGGGAGCCTTGCGCAATGTGCGCGGGTACGATTTACTGGGCAAACATTGGACGTTTGGTGTACCTGGCGTCGGAAAAGACTCTCCAAGGGCTCATCGGTGAGGGGAACACTGAGAACCTCACACTAGATTTGCCATGTCGAACCGTCTTTGCAAGTGGCCAGACGAAAGTGGAAGTCATTGGGCCCGTGAGTGGGTGGGAGGAGAAGGTGGTGCAGGATAGCCAAAGGTATTGGGGAAAGGAGAAGTAGTAGGATTTATATATTCGAATAATTGTGAACGGTTCTTGTGTAGAAACTTTGCGACTTTCCCTTTCCAGAATAAGATAAGACTAGCTCAGGGCTACTTCTTGCTCAGGGATTAATCCCGGAGTGTGGGGAGCTGAAGAAATACATATACTGAGCACTCCCTGAGTACTCAGAGAGAGTGTTGACCCGAAGCTAAAGCAATCCAGAATAATTTTAAAGTAATCTATAATCACTCCGCTTAGCTCTCTGGCAGACGGACTCTACTTTGTATAGCTAACCAAAACTTATAGCGCTAAGTCCATCCTCTTTAACTGGTTGAGGCCAGAAATATCCACAATACCATTACATTTATAACAAAGATCCACTCTATAAGTAGTAAATAATGGGCTTAGACTGGCGTTTGGACTGACAACCATCTGGCCTCGAATTCCAGATGATCATGAAGGCAACGACTTCAATAAAAGCACAAGCAGCCTAATTCAGTGTGAACCACTCATCATCTTCTGAGACCAACGAAAATACATACCAAGACATTATAGAAACGGAACCCTGGGGGATTGGCTTTCCTCACGAGCAGTCACTTACCCCATATGCGGCACCACTAGCTCCCATAACAAAGAAAGTCCAGTATACCGCGAGCACCATTTGATAATATGGATTGAAGAATGCCCATAACTTCTGGTGGCATAGCAGCTGCCTAACATCTTCCAGAGACTCTTGACGAGATTCGCTTCGAAGTGGTGGACTTTCAACGGTGGACATTCTGAAATGGTCGGTTTAAAAATCCACTTGTTTCGATACCTAGCGGGTAGAGTGAAATTAACGTCGGGGGACCGCTGAGTGCGAAAGACTAGAGTTTCCTGAGCATTTTACCCTCCTCAAGTTTCAGACAAAGGCCATGTTGGTCTAGTTCTGAATTCACACTCTTGAGAGTGGGGAAACTCTGAGATTTTGCGGACTGCGTCCCGGTCGGCGATTTTTCGCCGATGCCTTAGAGTCGACCTCACATCACAGAGGCGGGACGCGCGGCCTCTCGGACACAATGCCGAGGTAGTAGAGGTAGTTAGAGGGAGTAGGTATATCTCCGCCGAATTCAGTACCATCACTGCGGTCCAAATCTGCCTCCCCCTCATTATTTGCCAACACAGTGGTTTCTAAGATTCATCCAAGCACGCATCCAACCCTTCACGGCATGGGTTCGATTGCTAATAACATGCCTGAGCGTGAATGGCAAGATATCGTTGCTCGCAAACGCGGAGATCAGGCCCAGGCAATAGAAGCCTTTTTACAGAAGCACCCGAGGACAAACCCTGCCAGTGATGAAGGCGAAATCTGTTCTTTAGGACACGAAGGTCTGCTGGACTCACTTACTCGGGGTAAAATAAAAGCTGAAAGTGTAGCACTGGCCTACATCTATAGGTAGTTTGACTCGGAGAGGTTCAAGGAAGCGTATAACTGATATTCAAATCTTAGGGCAATAGAGTCGCATCAAAAGGTAGAACCACGACTGTATCAATTACAACAAAGGGGTTCTAACCGGCGATAGACTAATTGCTTAACCGAGCTTCTGTTCGACCAGGCTCTTGAACGATCCCGTGAGCTGGATGAGTATCTCCATCGGCAAGGCAAGCCGATAGGTCCGCTACATGGATTGCCGATTTCCCTCAAAGATCAATTCAATGTCAAGGGCTTTGACTCGACTTTGGGTTACGTGGGCAGGGCATACTCTCCCTGCACCGAGGATGCGACCCTTGTCACTATCTTGACCCAGCTGGGCGCTGTGATTATTGCCAAAACAAATATCCCACAAAGCATCATGGTAGGTAATAATGCTTAGTTCATTATATATAGAGATAGATATTACAGGGAACTCATTCTCTTTGCAGATGGCAGAAACTGAGAATCCCCTCTGGGGACTTACCGTCAACCCAAATGACCCTTCGTTTACCCCAGGTGGTTCATCTGGAGGTGAGTCTGCCTTACTCGCATGCAAAGGCTCCATGATTGGTTGGGGAACCGATATCGGGGGTTCTATCCGAGGGCCATGTAGTATGATGGGCTTGTATGGGCTTAAACCGAGTGTAAGCTCCGCAGGGAAAGCTCATCAAGTCGCAATGCTAACAATATCTACCAGAACGGCCGTCTCCCATACTATAATGTTGCTGTATCTACCGAAGGGCAAGAGCATGTCCCATCCGTCATCGGGCCTATGGCACGATCATTGCACTCACTTACTGAAGTCACCAAAGCTGTGATTGACTCGCAGCCCTGGGACCTGGATCCACGATGCATCCCTTTACCGTGGAGGCCTGCATTGTACCAGGAAGTCCAGTCTCGCCCATTGACTATTGGTGTTATCTGGGATGATGGTGTCGTCAAAGTTCATCCACCCATTCAACGGGCACTCGATCATCTTGTTTCGAAGCTGAAGTCGGCTGGTCATGAAATAGTTACTTGGGATCCAGTAGGCCATGCAAAGATTATTAACATCCAGGTAGGTCTTTTGTGCGGTGTTACAGAAGAATTATTGTTTCCGTTCTGTTCTGATTATGCTTGTAAGGACCAATACTACACAGCTGATGGTGGCGAAGATATTCGCCGTGACATTGGTGTTTGCAACGAGCCCTTCTTACCATACGTGAAATCCTTAGTTGATAGGGGAAGCCCTATCTCTGTCTATGAATATTGGCAGCTCAATCGACAGAAGCTAGGTTGTCAGAAGATGTATCTTGATCTGTGGAACAACACTCGAGGGCCGATCTCTGGGTGCAAAGTGGACGTGCTCCTTGCCCCGGTAATGCCACATCCAGCAGTGCCCCATCACTCCTGTCGGTAAGCCAACCTGAATTCTTCGACTCAAATCTCTTATTAATAAGGCATGGAAATAGCTGGGTTGGATATACAAAAGTATGGAACTTCCTTGACTATCCAGCTCTCAGTTTCCCGGTCACAGCGGTTTCGAAGGACATTGATATGGCTGATCCTTCGTATCAGCCTCGTAATCCGATGGATGAATGGAATTGGCAGTTGTATGATCCAGACAGGATGAATGCTCATCCGATTGGGCTACAAATTATCGCTCAGAGACTCGAGGAAGAAAAGGTTTTGGCAGCAGCGAAAGTTTTTGAAACCTTGCTTAATGATTAGACAAGGTTGGTAGAAAGAGAAGATCTTATTGCATGCTTGGTCTTTGGGAGTTAATGCGACAGATATTGTTGGTGAGGATAATACGTTGAATCTTATCGCGTTTCTCACTACAGCCAGTACGTCGTTGGCTAGGCATATACAAAGCTCTGCCTCATCAAATCGTTTAATTCGCTCGATTTCTCTCATCCCTACGCCTGATCCCCTTCTCGAAGAGATGAGGTAGAATTGCCTATATCGCTATATTTTATTAATCTAGGGAACGCGGCAATGCGCTAACATACCTACTAGCTGAGATCTTAGCTGGTTTATAGAGGTAAATAGGGGCTTGTCCAGCTCCCTCGAATATTGCTCATATAGTAATCTATAGCCATAGGATAGGGCCCCTGAATCCTTCAGTTTTAAAATACCTATATAGTATAGAATAGTCTATACTTTATAATATAAATACTACTACTCTTTAGTCCTATCCTAGATCCTGTAGATACTAATCATATAATACACACTTCCTGAAAATCACCATGTTAAGATATTACCTTTTTCTCATATACTCTGGAAATTTGGCTATCTAGATACTTTCTTAATATACATTCCCATTGCTAGATTCTACATTTTAATACAAAAGTTACTATCATATCCAGTAACTTTACTCTTTCTGTCTATTAGTCTCTACTTCTATTTGTCGATTTTTGAACTGGTTGGTTGTACGTTTTGCTTCCACTTCGCGGTACCAGACAACCCACCTTAATAAAGACTATTGAATCAGAAAATCTCATACTAGGGCAATAACAGTATAATCGTCAATGCCCAAGTAGAGCTCGGAATATAACTGAGCGTACATACGAAGTGCAACAGCAAGAATGGGCAAGAACCATAGGATCGTGGTCACAGTAATGATCACCATGGCTGTACCAGTGATGTCGTAGTTCTCATTATACATAATACAACCTTTTAGTGGTGTCGGAATGCTAACAGGCAGCGATATATATATAAGAGAAGTATTTGATGGGTGTATTTGCCCACACACGGACCACACCATGGTGGATTGCTTGCCCTTCAACCGTCATGCTATACTCAACGGGGATTGCGCATTGATAATGGATCTTACCTGCCACAACAATGTATCTTATTGCTGTTATCTTGAACGAATGATATTGTTCTAATTTATAACGTCGTCTCTCCCTTCATTTTGGCCCCCGAACCTAGCTCCACCCCGCCCCTCTTAACCACTTAGCTCCGGGCCTAGCAATCACTATGATTGGTAGTTGTTAGCTAGTCGACAGCTATTTATTCCTGTAATTTGGGCCATTCAGCGATTGATGAAGATCCCAAACTTTCCTACTTCTAGGCAAACCAAGCCATCGCTAGCCGCGCCATCATCAGGCCGTTGCTCAAGCCTCATTTTTGCCGACGAGCCTAAACTGGTTGAACGATAAGTGGTGTCCCTCTGGGCCTCTTTCTTCGCACCTTCATCAGAAACGGTCTTGGGTAATCACCGTGAAAGCATGTTTCTGCGCTCGCTAGGCGTACTGCCTGTGTTGGCGGGGTTGAGTGGTGTCAGTGTCCACCATTTGCTGTATCGCCATGGCGAGTGGGATTTAAAGGGAGTTGACATGGTCATCTTCTACATGATTCTGACACTTGCTCTGATCGCGTTGCAATACTCATCGATCCTCCCCCTAACCGAAGTCCTCCAACGGCCCAACTGGGCTTGGGATATTGTGAAGTACCATATTCTGGGTGTTTATACCAGCATGTTGCTTTATCGCGCAGCATTCCATCGCCTCAATCGGTTCCCTGGCCCGTTTCTTGCCCGACTTTCCAACTTCTACGTGACTTCGCTGGCAGCCAAGAAGTTACATCTCTATGAGGAAACTGAGAGGCTGCATGAGAAGTATGGCGATTACGTGCGAATAGGTCAGTGCTTACCCAGTTCCATCCTATCTGTGTTCCGCCTATTCATTAGATGGCATGTACAGGTCCAACCGAGTTGTCAATTAGAGATCCCGCAGCTGTCAAGCTGATCTATGGCTCGTCAGCCAAGGTTGCCAAGGGTGTATGGTACACCTGTAGTGAGCCTCGCATATCCCTTGAGACGGTCAGAGATAAGAAAGCACATGCGATGCAGAGGAAAGTATGGGGCCAGGGGTTTAGCTCACAAGGTACGAGACCACTCAAAGCTGTGGATAGCACACAAGCTAAACCTTGCCCCACCCAGCGTTGAAACATTACGAGCCGCGTCTCTCGTCCTATACGGCTCAACTTCTTACTGCGATAGACAGCCATCTAGGGCAGTCGATGAATGTGACGCAATGGTTTAACTATTTTTCATTTGACGTGATGGGTGATCTGGCATTTGGCAAGGCGTTTAATATGCTGGCAGAAGGCAAAGACCAGTACTTTCTCACGCAGCTACGGGGTAATATGAAAGCAATTGGTCTTACTAGCCATCTGTCATGGATCTTTCCATTTTTCAAGAGAATCCCAGGTTTAAACGCTGGGTATTTGAAAAACCTACAGTGGCTCGCAGAGCAGGTGGATTGGAGGATCAAGGTGCATTTCCTCCTAAATAATATTAATTAAACCCGGGGCTAAACAATTCTTGGAGACAGAATCCGCCTCACAGTCCTGACATCTTTTCATGGGTTCTTCAGGGATACGAAAATGGCCCTATGACCAAGCAAGACTATGCCAACCTTACGTGTGATGCTGAGCTCATCTGTGTTGCTGGAAGGTACATACATACATACAACCGCCCTGAACGAAAGGAGTAGGACGCGTGGAACTAATGAAGTTATAGCGACACGACATCCGCCACATTGACCAATATGTTCTTCCACCTTGCCAAAGATCAAACTCTTTATAAGACGCTTCAAGCTGAGCTGGATGCGCTGGAAGATTTGACACAGGAGAGCTTAACAGAGGTCAAGCTGCTCGAGGCAGTGACCAATGAGACTCTTCGTTTGCATCCAGCTGTACCTTCCGGGCTTCAGCGATTAACTCCACCAGAAGGGCTACAAATTAATGATACCTATATCCCCGGAGATGTCATGGTTTGTATACCGATGCATTCTTTATTTAGAGGTGAGTGGATATCTTCTAAGCACCCATCACTATACTGAGTGTTCGACTATGTCCAGATGAGCGTGTATTCCCGCAACCGACCGAATTCATTCCTGAACGCTGGACTACCAGACCCGAGCTCGTCAAAGACCCATCAGCACTGTTCCCGTTTGGGGGTGGTATGTATTATTATACATTCTGAACAGAACGCATGGCTGACTTGAATCTTTAGGGGCGTATGTGTGTGCAGGAAAGCAGCTTGCCTGGATGGAAATCCGCCGAGTGGTTGCAGAGATAGTAACGCAGTATAATGTCACGTTTGCACCTGACCATAGTGATGATGCATTTCTAGATGCCGCGGTTGATGCGTTTACAATCGTCCCGGGTCCTTTGAAATTGACCTTCCAGAAAAGGTAGAGACCAGCGTGGTACCTCCCTTCGACTCTTGACGCAGAGACATCGAAATTAGTATGTTTTGACACAAATTCCATACCTTTGGCGATGCACGAAGAGCACACTAGACGAAGACGCGATAGCTCTGAAGGTGTAGTGGTGACCAAGGTGGATTTATGATTCGCGGTAAGTAAACATACATTAGATTGTTTCGCGACCTGCTCAATTTGAGGAAAGAATGGACGATAGGCTTATCCGTCGCATTGATTAGCAGTTAATGTACAAGTGGTGTATATAAATCTATGATACATTCTATATAGAACGAACATTACATTGTAACCGGTTTGGCTTCCGCTTCCGCTTCCGGGATATTCCCCCCATTCTCCAAGGCTCGGCCATAGTTAGACTTGGCACCGTATTGATCATCATGCTTTTTGGACATGAAAAGGACAATAGTACTAAGGTCATGATTAGTACCAATGCGCTTATAGACCGCGTCTATATAGCCGAACATACCTAACAACAGTGGCGACCCAGCCGGGCCACGCTAGAACCACCGAGGCAACTGCCTTGGGATTGGTTCTGTACGCTGAAATGCTGGTTAGCTCCACTATCGTAGGGAATCAGATCCAAGCGTCCTGAATTCAACTGGGAACATACCTAGAGCAGGTTTCTTCTCGGCCTCGGACCAGAACTTTCTCGCAGAGGCGGCATCTGTACCAGTGATATCGGCACTATACATGGCAGTGATAACCTAGTCTTTCTATGAGTATCCTGAGAATTGTGACCGACAAGCACTTGGTTCATAGCATACCGTCATGACAAGAGCGGAGCTGAGCATCATTACCGAGACGACCACCGCACATATTTTCCATGCTAATCGGACAGATGGACTTTCGTATCTGTCGGGCCAGAACAGGTCGAAAAAGAATGCTGCGCCGAAGATCGTTGCCACGGAGATTCCCACAAAGATATTATACGAGGCCGCGCCGATGAAACTGTTATTATGGATCTTGACGCCGGGGTGTTGTCCCTGGATGTTGCTTTGTTGGTCGAGATAATCTATGGGTCGATGAATGGATGAGATTAGTATACAAAACCTTAGCTAGAACAGCGTCTTGAAAGAGGCTTGTATGTACCTGATAAGGCAGCTGTTCCCACCGACTCGGAACATACACAGAGGATCATGGCTAGTTGGTAGACAATCATCCTTGTGCGCCGTAGGTGGTAGATGCGATTGAACATATATTTCCCCTTGAACTTGGAGAATTGGATCTCGTGGAGATCTAGACCCCAAATCACAGCCATATCGGGGAGTTTACCACAACCAAGGTATCACAGTAAGGGTTTAAAGTATGAAATAAAATAAATAATCATAACACCAGAACTTATAGTGAAAGAACAAGTACACCGAGTTGAAATGAAATGATCTTGCCAAGTCTAGTCTATGCAGTATAGAAACGATGGGGATATGGCTTGGCATATAAGGAAGGGGTTGGTCACCCACGAGGGCTAAGTAGGAAGGTCTCCGATGCTGTATGGAACGGATTTCATGTCATCATATGGCGATCCATTATTTTCCTGCGTGTTGATCTGCCGAGAAGATGATGAGATGGCTGGCGTTAAACTTGTTTTCAGGGCTGCGACGGGAGCGGTCGGGAATGACGTCAGCCACGTCGGGTCCCTGATGCTTGTCCTGGATCTAATTCTGTTTGTCTTGTTTGACGAATTGTTCTGCTCCAAATGATCCATCGACAGTGAGAACCACCAACTCTGAGGCAAACCTATCACTCCACCAATGTCGCCGTGTCATGCACCACGGACGATCCTGTAGCTGTGGCACAGTGCTTCGTATTCCCATTCCTCACGGCCACGGGTTCAAGTCCCAGCTTCCCTCTCAACAATCTTGGCAGACGTCCATCAATAACATCCACTGTGAAGCCCTCGATATTATCCATGCGTGATAAGTTCCTCTGTATTTGAGACCAGTGGCCCTCTCATGGTGAAGGCATCTACGAAGTTCTTTTGGCATTCCCAGACTCACACGATTGTAACAAGTGCGACGAACAGGTGCATGGTCTCAAACACCCGGAAGGTCTTACCAGGCGGCAGAAGAATCTGTAGGACCAAGCACTCCATGAATGCTATTTTAACCAAGAGAGATGACTGCATGTGGCATATTGGAAGCTTGTCCCTATCCTAGCATCTGCCACTGTTTCTTTCGCGAAACACCCTACTTAGAAGGTAGCTAGAATCCTATTCTTCTTCTGTTCTAGCCTAACTAACGATAAATGCAAGAGGTGTAACCTGTACTGATGCCTAATTCACCCATATGGCAGATCAAATCTCTTGCCGGTTATACTAGACTCATTAACGATATTCTTAAACGTGGCTCTAGTGCTTAATCAATCCGGAGGCTAGAAGAATGATGCGCAACGTTCCACGCAGAAAGGTTTATACCCTACCACGTCGACCTTTACCCGCAACAACATTCACTACTAAAGAATGAAACAGTTGTGCCATTCGTATAGTATCAAATAGCTCGGGAGAGCTACGAACCGTTTTAGAGCAAGGCTCGCCCCACCATCCTTTCAGCCCTAACCAAACGTAGAAAATGTACGTGTTTTTCCGAGAGAGGACGATATACAAGCCTCTCGGCAGTTCCGCCGACGTATTTTAGCCCCCAATTTCCAACTTATCCCGACTCAGCAGGGCACAGTTGAGATGTTTGCGGTGCGAAGCCTTGCAATAACCGAATCTAGTTAGAGATCCGCAGGGCTTGTGATCAATACAGAAGTGATTCCGTTTTGCAATAAAGAAATTAGTCCCCAACGTCGTGCCAAGAGATGCTTAGCATGGCTCAATTGTCCTATGCGGACCATCCTATTGCTAGCGCGCGATACAAGCTTCTTGCAGTGAGTCTGGGTGTTGGGGGG